TATATATATATATATATATATATATATATATATATATATATATATATATATATATATATATATATATATATATCCGTCTCTTTCTCTCGCATCACCGCTATCCCGCGAAAATATCGCGTCGCGCATTTTGCCCGCATCTAATAGCATCTTGCTTGACGAAAATGACAAGTTTGACGAAAAATAATTCGACCATAATTAATTTAACATTCCGGGTTATTAAGGGTTAAAGCCAGCCGGATGATCACCTCGTGCGTCCGTCGCCCGGTGAGCCACGCGGACAGCCCACCTGAACAGCGGTGCCGACTGCACCACTAACGGTCGCGTGGTGATCGGGGGTTGGGGTGGCGGAGCTCACGGGCAGGGCCATCTGGCCTGTCCCCGTAGGCAGATGCCCCAGGGACAAGGAGATCCGCGCGCTACGACCTTGACTGCAATCACCCAGGACAGACGTACGTGTGCTTGTGAATGTGCGTGTGTTGTTGACTCACTCTCTCGTCGGGTGAACCACGGCGAAATTTCGGGCCTCTCTCTACGTCTTATGTGCCGACGCCGACGCCGTCGACTTACCGCCCTAGTAACGACCAATCGCGACCAACCGCATCTCTACAAAGCCACCCCTCGCGCTCTCTTCGGAGAAGCGATACTTTTGCGAAATTTTTTCGTATTTACGAAGAAGAAGGAGCCTCTCTATCTATCTCTCTTTTTCTCTCTTTCACTCACTCACTCACTCTCTCTCTCTCTCTCTCTCTCTCTCTCTCTCTCTCTCTCTCTCTCTCTCTCTTTCTCTTTCTTTCACACGGGAAGAGAACAAGGTCGCCTACCTACGAACTGCGCCCGTGCGGAGTTACAGCTGTGAGTCGACTCGGCGTTTACACCGCGCCATATCTCGTGCGCGTATCGCGTGACAGGAAATAATCGCCCCAACGAGATAATGATTGCGCGTAAATCGTTGGAAAGCGAGTGAAGAGATGGTGGACGACGGGAGTGCGAGACATACCTGTATCCCATGTCCTCCTCATATTGAGCGGTCGCCTGGCTCTGCTGCTGTTGTTGCTGCTGCTGCTGTTGCTGGTAGGCGGTCTGCTGTTGCTGCTGCTGTTGCTGCTGCTGGGTAGCCGTCGCGGCTGTCGGAGCGAGACTTCGTGATATGTTGCTGCCGTTGCTCAGCACCTACGCGACAGAGACGCGAGCGTGCAATTAATAGCTAATTAAGGATGACGAGTCCAATTATGAGAACACCCGAGTCCGGCAATTGTAACCCGCCGTGAAATCGATGTCTCACGGCGGGCGAGCGGATACTCTTGATCTTCTCTCTCTTTTTTTTTACTCGGACTTCTTCCGCCCTTGGTTAATAGCGTCTGAGACGTCTTAAGTGAACGCTCGTCGAAAAGTTTCGCCAATCGACATTCTCGAATTATGAGAATTACGCTAAAATGACGAATAGTCGCGGGATAGTCTTCGAACGGAGAAAGAAGTTTGAATTAATCGGAAATCTTGATATATTAAATAGATTGGTGGATTTTGATCGATCCATAATATCGATTAATGTAACCAGGCAAATTTAATTACATGCACAATAATAGTAATAAATTATATTTATATTTCTTAATAGAAATTCTATTACTTTCTTGACTGAGAGTTATTTCTTAAGGATGTATTAGTGTATGATATTGTTTCATTTAAAGTCAACTATTTAATTGATCTAATATTATATCGTGTGCTTAAAGAATTCACCTTTACCCTGATTGGATTCGAACCCAAGACCTTTGAATTCTCAGTAGTCTGTCTTATATGCTACTTCCCCAATTGATAAATCTGTTATACATATATTGTCTGTATATATTGTTTAATAATATGCAAGCAACAATATACCAGCGTTGAATATCAGAATATTTGATTATAATAATAAAAAATTCTGTACAGTTACATTTAACTAAACATGTCACGTTAATTTAACCATTCTCTTTTTTTATATGTGTAAAGCACTGAATTAATGCCACCAAATTAATCTCCTTTAGTCATTGACACTTTAGAAAAGTCTGGTTTTTCTTCCAACCAATGGTGATTGTTTACAACTTTAGTTCTGAAATTCCCTGTTGGAATCATTGAATGCAGGTAAGAAATTTAACTGCAATGTTGGTCGCATGACAAACCTGACTTTTTTTAGAACATCAATAATTAAGAAGATGACAATAATTTTATGCTAGTCATAATAACCAGATTAATATTTGGATTATTATTCTATATACACAGTTACAAAACTCTGATTGCTATTACAACTGAAATGCTCTGGTTGCATACCAGAATATCTCCTTATAATAACCAGAAATACTACTTATTTTTACTAGTTTAATCAAACATGTCACGTTAATTCAACCAGGCTCTCTCTTTCTGTGCAAAGTCTCACGGATCAACGATTCTTCTTTGCTTAGGACATTATTTGTTTTGTAATTATAACTTAGCTAATATTTTAATAATTAAAAATAATTCAAATATCACCAGTAATTAATCACACCCATGTCTAAGGAGGAATCTTAGATTCCCTCATTATTCTTTTATCATGACGCCATCAGTATTAACACATCGAGTATTTCTTAATATTATGTGAAAAAAGACAGAGAGAGAAAGAGAGATCCTGTAATGAGAAGCTAATTATAATTGAATGAACAGAGAAATTGGGACTTACATCGAGTGCTTGAAGCATCGCCCTGGCGAAAGCGTCGGCGTCGTCTTTACTCGAAAAATTGAGCCCGTACACCTGCTTGTTGTCCCTCCATTGGTGGAACGTGACCGTGGCCTGATTGTACTTGAGCCCTTTCAGGATCGCGCAGTTGATGACGATCTCGTGATCCTGCAGCTTCCTACCCACCACGCGGAACGTATTGTTCACCTGGTGATGGTAAAGCTGGACCTTCGACAGGCCGGACGAGCTGCCACTCGGTATCCATTTCTTGTTCACGTCGTCGTACACCATCACCGACGCGCGGGCGGATGATATGCTCACTTCGCTGAAACGACAAAATACGTTTTTGTGTCTTCGCCAATTGACCCTTTCGGTCGCGCGCTTGATTGCGCGACTTTTCGCTCTCTTCATTATATTACATTATGTCAAGGGCATAAGGAATCGCCATAAAAATCATCCGTCGAAATATTTGTTGAATTACTTCATTTCAGAGTAAAGGATCCAGAAATGTTGTGTAACATTATAGAGTAACATATATGAAAAATATAAGTTTTGAGTAAATTTATATATTAAAAGATATTTTTATTTAAATTTTAATTCTGTAATTAATTTTTTTACAATTAACAATAAATGTAACAAGTTTTTATAATTTTTATACTTTTTTGGAGAAAAGATCTTAAAATAACAATACAAGAGATAGATGTGGGTGAAAATAAATGCAGAATTTTTAAGCTTTCTACGTTAATGGATCGATCGTGCTCTTCTTTCTGTTTGGCGAAATGAGCAACGCGACCAAGCGAATGTTGCAATCTGGTTGAGGCGTGGGCGGTGCACCGGTATCACTTTTTACTTCTGCTCGTTCGAGAAAGTCGCATAACCAAAGCAGCAAAGCGAACGACGAATTGACAGATTCCGCGATTTCTCTGATTATTTTCAAATTCCACCGTCTTTTATCGGATCTCTTGTATTCTAGAATTCACTTAACATGTTTAGTCGAACGAACAACGCAAAACAATAGGAAATCAAAATGATAATATGAAACCAGTCGTCTGAACCAGACGACAATGTAGAAACAAGTTGAAAAACGCAAATTCTTCAAGATGTCCTTCAAACGTCAATGGAAAAAGAGATGCAATATTTTCATTTTCAATAAGTCTCGCAATATATCTAACAGAAGAATTTATTTATTAGAAATTTTAAAAATACAAATTCTAAAGATAGAATTATTAAAAACAAATGATAAATTCAAAATATAAATTTTTTCAGATTTTCTTTCCAATAAACGCTTCACAACCTGTACACAGATAGAATATAGATTTTCTTTGTATAAAAAAAATTCTATCCAATTTTACTATGTTCCTATAAAATTTTTTCCTATAAATTTATGTAACGCAGTAGTAGCGTAGATGAACAATGGACAATAGATTGTCAGTAAGGTTTACCTTGCTAATAAATACAATAAATTTTGCTGGAATTGTACTGTGTTTCGCTAGAAACTTAATAATCTTTTAATAGCACATTTTAGTGTTGCTAAAATATAAATGAAAGGATAGTTAATTACCGCAGAATGTCGATCTATTCCTATAAAATACTACAGTAATTTTTACTATTAGATATTTCCGCGTATATAATAGGAGAATTTGTTTATTAGTAATATAATTAGACAATATAATTATTAAAAAACGAATGATAAATTCAGAAGGCAAATATTTCTGATTATTTTTTAATTATTTTCGCAATCTATATACAGAGATTATAGCTATTATTAATAATAAAATATAGTTATTATTAATATTATAGTTTTTTTCACAAAAATTACTTTCAATTTTCTATGTTTCTAGTAGTGAAGGAACAAATTGTCAGTGAAGTCTATCTTGCTAAGGAACATAGTAGAACAAATTTGACTAGAATTGTATTATATTTCGCACAGCAAATCTTTTAGTAGCATATTTCAGCTCTTAAAATATATAAATAGCATATATGAGATGAAAGGATAGCCAATTACTGCAGAACGTCGAACTATTCCCGTCTTACAAAATTTTATAGTAGCTTTTACTATGAAGTTACCTCCGTCTAATAAAAAATTCTGTTTATTAGTAATTCTACAGACAGGCTGTAATTACTAAAAGATGAACGATGATAAATTTCTTTCTCTAATATAGCAGATCATATCTTTTCCTCAATTGAGAAAACAAATACGAAAGACAAACTTCCCTGTTGGATACCCAGGTAGAACAATCATAATGAGGTTAAAATGACGAGGAAATAACTATTAAAACTCTCTTTTCAGTTATGGTTCTACTCTTTCTTCATCACTTTGACATTATTTCGACATTACCACGATTTTCTGTTCTACCTGAGTATATCAGATGTGCTCTGAAGTTCGTCGAGACAAAAGTATTGCAAACTTTCTTCCACCGACTGTCCCTCAGACACATCCTTGGGTCCTCGGAACTCTTCGTCTCTCTCTTTCTCGGCCTCTCTCTCTGTTTCTCCCGCGTCATTCGAAGAGGAGGGAAACGAGGAGGAGCCAGCCGATATATCGCGATCGGCCAAGAAAGCGAAGGACGAGAAAATCGACACGGCCACGGCGTACCACAAGCGGTCCTGCCAAGAGGAAGATCGTTGTTGACGATAGTTGGCGTGCTGTTGCGCGCCCGCGTATTGCGCCGGGCCTTCTTGCACACTCTGCATCGTTAATGAGGAACGCGTCCTGGTGTCTTGGCTCGGTGCGTGGTCGCGCGGCGAGTAAGACTCATAAGAGGACCACCTCGTCCTGCCGGTCCGGCAGGCGAACGAATTCATTCGAGAGTCCCACATGACGATCACAAGAGGATGATCTCTCTCTCTCTCTCTCTCTCTTCCTCTCTTCTAGGCTTTACGCGGCCATCACTCGCGATCGTGAGTGTTATCGGAGCACCAACGGCCGTTATATCAGCGGCTACGTCGACAGGCCGATCAGAAACGTCGTGTCGCGGCTCGTTCGCGGCGTAATTAAATATCCGGGCCTGATCCGCGCGCACCGCGGAAGAGGCTCGTGCGCGAGAGCTCGCTGTCGCTTTCACTGGGCTGAAAAGCAAGCGAGCAAGCCAGCAAACCCGCGCGCCGTCGGACGGAAAACGGGAACAGGACGAGATAGGATGTGGCGAGATACCGTCACTTCCTCGGCTGTCCTGGCGCGTACGCACAGCGGCAACACACAGACAAGCGAATGCCAGTGTGATAACGCCTCGTGCCGCGGCCAGCACGACGCAAAACATCGTGTGCCATGAAAGAGAAAGAAAGAGAGAAAGAAAGAGAGAAAGAAAGAGAGAGGAAGATAACCGGGAAGAGAGGACAGATAAAAGAATTGTCGATAATTTTCTGATGTTTTAACGAAGCAAGACGACGGGGCGATAAGTGATCGTATCGCGTTGATCACCGTGTTGATCCCGTCTGACTCACTCGCCTGCGCGTGAGGAAGGTCAATTTTTCTCCTCTTTGCTGGGGATGTGCGATTTATTGCAAGCACTGCGATTAAATCGCAATGCATCCTTTTATTAAATCGCAATGCGATACGCAATTGAAGTTTTATCGCAAAATCGCGCCTGCAACTCAAAATTACTCGTCATTTTAGTTAAGTATCTGTGTAAAAATATCGCATGATAAATCTATGATATTTTATACTATTTAATCCAAACTTATACATTTAGAGACATAAAATGGGATTATGCTATTATAACAGCCTCAAAATGTTAAGTGGATATTTATTTTTATATATAATTTTTATATAGGCTTTATATATATGTATGTATCAGAAGATTACTACATTTAATATTGATTGTCATTAATATTTTATTAAAAAAAGGCAATAAAAAAGGTAGTCTTATTGTTTTATAGGAAAAATGTTGTCATTAAATAATTATAATTAATTAAACGTGCAATAACACATACTCATATATTGCATGTCTTAGACACTTGCATAACTCATGCTTAGTCATTAGTCACTTTTAAAAATGTTTGAAAATAAATGATTCGGAAATAAACAAGTTTTGTAAAACATGTTTCCCATTTTGTGTAGAAAGCACAATAAGGTTAAATGATGTTTTTAAGAACACTTCATTTAACTTTATTATGCTTTCATTTTTAACTATTCTTTCACAATACAACTTGTGTTTTCTTATAGTGGCCATTTCAAAGAATATTTTGATACAGTACAAAGAAAGTTGATTTATTTATTTTTAACATGTTTAACATCACATTATTTAAATATCACGGTTCCTATCATACTCCAAATTCCCTTATGATTAAAAATCATTATATGGTTAGCGATATAAAATCGCGCGCGACTCAAAATCACATTTGTGATACAAAATTGCGCACGATTTAAAATCATATTTGCGATACACAATAATATTTGTTTTCCGCAAAATGTTAAAAACAAATGTTATTAATATTAGAGATCTCCTTAATCATAAAAAGATTATTTGCTTAAAAATTTATAGTTTTTTTTTTAACACAGTATTGTATAAAACTAATTGCCATTTGTTAAAGATGAAACTTTCCAGAAAAAATATGGAAAAATGATTTAAAAAAATATATTGTTAACATGAAGAAAATATTGTTTTAACGTCAAGACTGATTTCAACGGTGTATTTCCTACATCTGCTAAACAGCAGATGGGGCTGCACAGCATGAGCAGTTGCAAGAGAGCAGACAGAAGTTTTTTTTCCTTCCAATCCCGACCCCCTACCTTCCATTATATAGAAACAGCAAACGTTTTAACAATGGATTCAATGCAATATAGTGTTCTAGAATTAATATTTCTAAAAAAGCCTATGAAATTTTACTAAAATATATTTTTAAGTTTGTAATATTTAATATTATTTAACTTAAATAACTTAAATTTATATAATAATAATTATATATATAATTATATAATACATATAATTATACATATAATACTATAATAATTGAAATTTGAATAAATTTTTAATATTATTTATGATGAATATTTAATCACTGAGTTTATTATTCTGTAATTAGAACATGATTCAATTTTCAGTTTAATTACTTGCATATAACTGACACTATCTAATATCTCATTAAGATTATAATCAATATTTTTATTGATTATTGTTTCCTATTAGTTTTTAAACGCTGAGAAACCAAAGTTTTATATAAACGTTATTTCTGTTAATTCCATTATAATTATTTAATAAAAATATAAAAAACTGATCAGGTTTTTCTTATTAATTGAATCATTGGGACATTTATCTTATGTCATTAATCAAAGATACATTGTTCTTTATAATATACGTAGTCTATCGCTTATATGTGTTGCTCGTATGTATTGTCGAAAAAATATACATCCACATCGGTAAACCAAGCGCCTACAATCAAGTAAAAAAGCTAAAACACTTACACACACTTATTCAAGTGTTATAAAGAGAATAGAATTTCTAGTTCCTATGAACTAATTTGGTTCTACTCTCTAAATTTCTTAGAATAAAATTTCACTGGAAAAATGGAGTGACAATCGAGTCACTCGAATTGTAGAGTGACTTCTCACGCAAGATATCGATTGTGAAAGAGACTATATCCACAAACGAACCAAAATATGAGACACTGGACGCTCCGAGAGTTCAACCATTATCAAACATTCGTTCAAGTTTTCGGTCTTCTTATCTGCGAACGATATCGGAACGCATTCGGCGGTTTTGTCAATTGACCAGCGTACGGCTGTATGTAGGTCAGAGACCGGCCTTGCATATGACAATTACCGGCCTAAACACGCTCGCGCGAGTTAAATATCGTTGCGGTCATGCGTTATTATCCAGCGGACGGACGTTGCGGCGGAGTCGTGAATATATACAGATAAAATGACCCTTCCGGGTGTACGTATGTTATCGTTTGTAAAATTTTAAAAACACTCTCGCTCTCCTCAATACGTAAGCTGAATAGCACTTGATCAACTGATACGTCTATTATTCTCTTCGATAACCTCTATATACAACCAGAGTTAAACATTCACGCAAAAATTATGACACTACGCCTACGTGTAGAAACGTAAACTTTATGTGAAACGTCATCTATGTAGACAAGATCTAGAATGTAATCTATGGATGTTGTTCAAAGAACGTATGGCACGCTCGACAATTAATTAAGGAATATTTATATCTTTATTTAACCTTTAGAATTTATGAACGTTCTTTTTTAAAAAAAGTACCACAGAATTCTCTGGTGATATTCTCTGACCTTCAGAGTTATATATATCAATTTGTTACGTAATGAGATGAAAGTTCTATACAATTTATCTTTTTTAAACACTACATTTATAATTAATACTCAAAACAGATGTAATTGTCTTATCATTTAATTTCTTGATGATTTACTTCTGGTGATTTAAAATAACAGCATGATTCTTCCCCTAAAGTGTTTTCCTTTTTTTTATTATTATTAAACATATCTATATTATTATTAAACATTTCTTTCCTCTTTGTTACCATTTTCTCTGAAGAAAGAGAATAGAAAAGAAAATAGAATACAAAATATATATATAATTTATGTTTGCTGTAAGTTAAAAAAGATACAATAGTTTAAGTAAATCAAAAAAAAATTTTGTAAAGAAACTTTCCTGGGCATGCCACTAAGAAATTATTTATTCTTTTCTGTATATTTACACAATATTTTCCACATATATACATACAATTCCACGCGTTACATTGTCTATAAGAAAAAAGATATATATGTATATTACGTGGACAATACATAAACAATCAGCGCAAACGTAATCTTGAAATCTATGGCACTAATTTTATAATTGTTAGATATTAAAGTCTCATCTCGTCTCGCCTAGTTTCGTTGAATTAACTGTACTCCCTAGAGACGGAGAATCATCAACGGCATTATCGATAACTATCGATAGTTTACACTATCAATACTCACCGATAAGCTATCAATGGTTTTCCATAGTCCCTTTTTTCACAATTCTATTTTAAAATAACAAGCTATGACAAAATATTTTAAATCATTTAATTGACAATTAATAAATTTATTTCTTTTGGAATTCTAGGATTAATGAGCAAACATAGATGAAAGATATGTATATATAAAAAAAAAAAATATATATATATATATATATATATATATATATTTATAAATATATATATTTATATTTATATATTTATAAATAAATATATATATATTTATAAATAGCTGGAACATGTAAATAACTACAGCAACGCGTACTAGTGGCAATACTGTGAAACAATACGTAGGAAATAGAACTGATTAGTCTTATACAACTATTTATTACCAACTGAAACCTCTAATTACCTATGATAAATTACAAAAAAAAAGTGAAAAGGGGGCCCAAATAAATTGGAACGGGTCATTTTATAATTATTATTTTTTTAGAGATCACAAAACTATCGAAAACTATATTGATAGTCACACTATCGATAACTATCGTTGGAATGGAATATTGACAGTTCTTCGTTACTGTATACTCAGTCCCGCTAATAATCCATTGATATATCGAAAATTCGTAAAAATTATCGACCGGCCACATCATTTCTAGCTACGCGTTTTTCATGACTAGTGATTAATCGGAAGTGCGCGAACGCAACGCAATGTTGCATATGGGATATTTGTCCACGACGTCGTCCGTTGCTGTTTTCAATCTTGGTTCTAATTGAAGTGCGCTGCTCTGTTCGCGACTACGTTTCAGTAGTTTTGTGCTAACGTCATATTATTTTGAGCTAACGTCGTGTTATTGATCTTGTAAATAATTAGTGAGTTTGCAATGAGATCTTGAAATGTAAAGACGTGTGAAAGATCTGGTTGCCTCTGAATCAAACTCGGTTATAATTATATTTGAGTTTCAATTAAAATAGTTCTCGTTCTCCTTTAAAGGTATTATTTATTTATTCCTCTCTATAAGTGACAGTTTTGTGTGAATTTAACCCGAGAGTGTAACAATTTGGGAGCTCGTCCGTGATATTTTGACGGTTTAAGGTTTCATATGCTTCAGTAAAGAGAGTCACCCGCTCACGTGCAACGCGTAATTAGCGGAAGAAGAGTAAGGACGTTAAAAAGAATAAAATTAGAAGGTTATTATATAAAATACAAATACAATTAATTAGAGATGTGTAGATAGAGATAT